GCAGTACATTGATCCGTATTATACGACTGTGTATTGTTATGCAGTACATTCGTGCATACTATGCGACTGGGTATTGTTATGCAGTACATTCATGCGTATTATACGACTGTGTATTGTTATGCAGTACATTCATGCATATTATACGACTTTGAATTGCTATGGAGTACATTCATACGTATTATACGACTGTGCATTTTTATTCAGTACACTCGTGCATATTATACGACTGTGTATTGTTATGCAGTACATTCATGCATATTATACCACTGTGTATTGTTATGCAGTACATTCATGCATATTATACGACTTTAAATTGCTATGCAGTACATTCATGCTTATTATACGACTGTGTATTGTTATTCAGTACATTCATGCATATTATACCACTGTGTATTGTTGTGCAGTACATTTTCATGCATATTATACGACTTTGAATTGCTATGGAGTACATTCATACGTATTTTACGACTGTGCATTTTTATTCAGTATACTCGTGCATATTATACGACTGTGCATTGTTATTCAGTACATTCATGCATATTATACGACTGTGTATTGTTATGCAGTACATTCATGCATATTATACCACTGTGTATTGTTATGCAGTACACTCATGCATATTATACGACTTTGAATTGTTATGCAGTACATTCATACGTATTATACGACTGTGCATTTTTATTCAGTACATTCATGCATATGATACGAATGTGTATTGTTATGCAGTACATTCATGCATATTATACCACTGTGTATTGTTATGCAGTACATTCATGCATATTATACGACTTTGAATTACTATGGAGTACATTCATACGTATTATACGACTGTGCATTTTCATTCAGTACATTCATGCATATTATACGACTGTGTATTGTTATGCAGTACATTCATGCATATTATACCACTGTGTATTGTTATACAGTACATTCATGCATATTATACGACTTTGAATTGCTATGGAGTACATTCATACGTATTATACGACTGTGCATTTTTATTCAGTACACTCGTGCATATTATACGACTGTGTATTGTTATGCAGTACATTCATGCATATTATACCACTGTGTATTGTTATGCAGTACATTCATGCATATTATACGACTTTGAATTGCTATGCAGTACATTCATGCATATTATACGACTGTGTATTGTTAGTCAGTACATTCGTGCATATTATACCACTGTGTATTGTTATGCAGTACATTCATGCATATTATACGACTGTGTATTGTTATGCAGTACATTCATGCATATTATACCACTATGTATTGTTATGCAGTACACTCATGCATATTATACGACTTTGAATTGCTATGCAGTACATTCATACGTATTATACGACTGTGTATTTTTATTCAGTACATTCGTGCATATTATGCGACTGTGTATTGTTATGTAGTACATTTATGCCTATTATACGACTGTGCATTATTATTCAGTACATGCATGCGTATTATGCGACTGTGTATTGTTATGCAGTACATTCATGCATGTTATACGACTGTGTATTGTTATGCAGTACATTTATGCATATTTTACGACTGTGTATTGTTATGCAGTACATTCATGCATATTATGCGACTGTGTATTGCTATGCAGTACATTTATGCATATTTTACGACTCTGCGTTGTTATTCAGTACATTCATGCACATTATGCGACTTTGTATTGCTATGCAGTACATTCATGCATATTATACCACTGTGTATTGTTATGCAGTACATTCATGCATATTATACGACTTTGAATTACTATGGAGTACATTCATACGTATTATACGACTGTGCATTTTTATTCAGTACATTCATGCATATTATACGACTGTGTATTGTTATGCAGTACATTCATGCATATTATACCACTGTGTATTGTTATGCAGTACATTCATGCATATTATACGACTTTGAATTGCTATGGAGTACATTCATACGTATTATACGACTGTGCATTTTTATTCAGTACACTCGTGCATATTATACGACTGTGTATTGTTATGCAGTACATTCATGCATATTATACGACTGTGTATTGTTATGCAGTACATTCATGCATATTATACGACTTTGAATTGCTATGCAGTACATTCATGCATATTATACGACTGTGTATTGTTAGTCAGTACATTCGTGCATATTATACCACTGTGTACTGTTGTGCAGTACATTCATGCATCTTATACGACTGTGTATTGTTATGCAGTACATTCATGCATATTATACCACTATGTATTGTTATGCAGTACACTCATGCATATTATACGACTTTGAATTGCTATGCAGTACATTCATACGTATTATACGACTGTGCATTTTTATTCAGTACATTCGTGCATATTATGCGACTTTGTATTGTTATGTAGTACATTTATGCCTATTATACGACTGTGCATTATTATTCAGTACATGCATGCGTATTATGCGACTGTGTATTGTTATGCAGTACATTCATGCATGTTATACGACTGTGTATTGTTATGCAGTACATTTATGCATATTTTACGACTGTGTATTGTTATGCAGTACATTCATGCATATTATGCGACTGTGTATTGCTATGCAGTACATTTATGCATATTTTACGACTCTGCGTTGTTATTCAGTACATTCATGCACATTATGCGACTTTGTATTGCTATGCAGTACATTCATGCGTATTATACGACTGTGGGTTGTTATGGAGTACATTCATGCGTATTATACGACTGTGACTTGTTATTCAGTACATTCATGCGTATTATACGACATTGTATTGTTATTCAATACATTCCTTCATACTATGCGACTGTGTATTGTCACGCAGTACATGCATGCATATTATACGACTGTGTATTGTTTATGGAGTACCTGACTGTGACTGTGGACTTCAAAAATCGCACTGATACTTTTCAAGTGAAAACAATTCAATCTTTGGATTTCTGTTTATTTTATTCTGTTTCATGAGTGTTGCACGAGTATTTCATGTCAATTCATGTCATTTCATCTCATTTCATGTCATTTCATTTCATTTCACTTCATTTCAATTCATGTCATTTCATTTCATTTCATTTCACTTCATTTCTATTCATGTCATGTCATGTCATTTCATTTCACTTCATTTCAATTCATGTCATGTCATTTCATTTCACTTCATTTCATGATTGACTGCAAATAAAGCAAAAATACCATTACTCTAGATTGTAAATACAAATAAACTATACTCAAAAACATTTCTTTGCAAAAGAACATTGATTTTAGGACACATTAGGAAATTTATGGTAATTACAAAATGTTATTTACCAGAAGCAATGTAATTAATTCAAATACATTATATCACAATCATACATCTAAAACTAAAGATATTAGTAAAAATGCTGTTGTAGTTACCTAGTTGTTGACCACTTTTATCAACTCATGTGGCTACCTAGCCAGCTGCCATGTGGTTCTGTGCATGCCTTACATGCCTTGATTAAATGCATCTATAAATAGACTAGTGCACAGCGCACCCTATTGGGCTTAAGAAAATGAAAATGGTCTACCTTGATACCCAACTGAAGCATCATAAAATGAAAACATCTTTTAAGTGTATGACCATTACACACCGGCCTCTTCATTGGAAGACGAAAGAAAACCAATGACTCAAAATCTAACAAATATGGTCAAACTCAAACAAAATATACTGCTAAGAAAACTCATGCACAAAACAACATGACTTCATTTCGGCATTGTTCACTTTGTCATATTAACATTCAGGGCTGCTTTCCAACACAAGGCACAATTTATTTTGAGAGTGTTAGACTTTGTTTTCAATTTCACAATTCTCCCAAGTCCCTTTTTGTCTTTCACAACTTAAAGAACCCTGGCCAGACTCCATGTATTTCGTGGATTACTATCCATCACAAGTACAAGGTCATCAACGGCAATGTTTCTTTTCTGGATATTCCATTTCTGCTTTTGTTGAAGTAAAGGTAGATATTCCTTTACCCATCTTTTCCAAAAAAGATCTGCTAAGTATTGTAGTTGTCTCCATCTTCGTTTGCAGAAGTTGTCTTCCTTGGTAAAAACACCTGACGGACAGTTCTCACCTCCCCGAAATAGAATCAGGTGATTGGGTGTGAGAGCGTCAAGGTCATTTGGACTGTTGTTCATTTCAGATATAGGTCGCCCATTCAAGATTGCTTCGATTTCGCAGAATAGAGTATGCAGGCCTTCGTCATCCAGGTGAATAATCTGTGTATGTAGTAATGAATACATTACTTTCCTGATCAATCGGATAATCCTTTCCCACATACCACCAAAATTTGACGCAGCAGGTGGGTTGAAATCCCAGGTGATTCCACGATTTAGGAGTGAATTCTTCATTTTTTGCGAGTCAAGCTTCGACATTTCTTCTCGCAGCTCTCTTTCTGCTCCAACAAAGTTGGTTCCATTGTCAGATCTAATGTAAGTCACAGGTCCTCTTCGGGCAATGAACCTCCTAATAGCAGAAATACAGGAATCTGTGTCTAGACTCGCTGCGGCCTCAAGATGAACTGCTCGTACGGTCATACATGTGAATAGCACGCCCCATCGCTTCACATGTCGTCGTCCTTCTTTGATTTCAAAAGGACCAAAATAGTCAACACCAACTTTGGAGAAAGGAGCTTCGTTACCAGTCACTCTCTCTGAAGGTAAGCTTGCCATTTTCTGAGTTGTAGGCTTTCCTTGATGTTTCCTGCAGACGACACATTTGGAGATCATCTTTTTAATCAGAGAATTTGCACTGATGATCCAGTAAGTTTGTCTGACATGGGAGAGTATTGCATTCTTTCCTAAGTGTCCCACTTGTTCATGAGCTTTTCTTAGAATCAACAATGATACTGCGGACTCCTTGGGGAGTATGATTTGATGCCTTGCCTCGTATGCAATTGGGGATCTATCCAACCTTCCTCCTATGCGAAGTACACCATCTTTAAAGAAGGGGTCCAGTTTGAAAAGCTTTGATGACCGTGCAATTCTAGCTTCAATTGATTTCCTTTTCAAACTTTCAATTTCAGGTGCAAATGCTTTTTCTGAACATATCTAATAAGTGCCATCTCAGCATCATTAACACCTTTCACAGAGAGACTTGGATACTGTTGTTCAGCCTGAGAAGTTCTGTCCATTTTTTTCCTTTTTCTTCCACGTGTACGTACTTCTGTTTTAATTTCTTCTTGTTTTGTGTTTTCACAATGTCTCTTCTTTACATACTCCTGGAATGTCGTTACAGCTAACATCAACCATGCCGCTGCTTTTCTCAGTTTGGTCCAGTCAGAAAAGTGATCAATCAGTCTATCCATGGCAGTGGAAGTATCGGCTTCGCATACAGCAACATTCACACGTTTTACCTCAGGGTCTCCATTCAAGTCCGCACTAAGAAAGTCAGCATTACAAGGCCACTTATCTACCGTCTTCGATAGGAAATCTGGACCATTAATCCACTGAGGTGTCTCCAGTAATTTCTTCATACTCATTCCTCTGGAAGCGTAGTCTGCTGGATTCAGTTGAGTGTTGATGTATCTCCACTGCTCAATCTTCGATGATTCATGGATCACAGACAGTCTGTTGGCTACGAAGGTATGGAAGCGGCTGGTTTGGTTTGCAATGTACCTCAATACAGACATACTGTCTGTCCAATAGTAGCTGTTACCTACAGTGTAGTCTAGTTCACGGACCAACATGGCATTCATTCTAACGAGAGCAGTTGCAGCCGTCAACTCCATTCGAGGTATAGTGATTCTTTTCAGGGGAGCTACACGTGCCTTGCCAATGACGAAAGAACACTGAATGTTTCCATCCTCATCAATCAGTCGCATGTAAGTAACCATGCCATAACCAGTTTCGCTGGCGTCTGCAAAGTGGTGTAGCTCACATGACGATACTGCTTTTAACCACTTTACCTTGTAGCATCTGTCCATCTTCAAGCTGTCAAGAAGATACAATTGCGATATCCATTCATTCCATCGGTCAAGTAGTTTTCCACTGATTTCTTCATCCCAGCTTGCTCCATTTTTGCAGAGTTCCTGTAGGATACACTTCGGAATGAGAACATAAGGTGCAGTCAGACCGAACGGATCATAAGCTGAGCTTGACAATGAGAGAATTCCTCTTCGAGTGCATGATACACCTCTTTCACCCATCTTGAATCCAAAAGTGTCCGATTCGGTATCCCAGTAAACCCCTAAGGCTCTCTCTTATGGAAGTATATCTTGTTTCAGGTCAATCAACTTCATTTCCTTGGACCGATCCTCAATAGGAATAGACTCCAGGACTGCAGGGCTGTTACTCACCCACTTGGTTAGGTTAAAGCCTCCCATTTTGCACATTGCACTTGTTTCATGAATAAGCGTTATGGCATGATCTTCTGAATCTTTGGATGCAAGATAGTCATCAACATAGAAATTGTTTTTCACACCATGACTTACTTCTGGGTCAAACTTTTCAGTGTTGTCGGTTGCTGTTTGTTGAAGTGCATAGTTGGCGCAGGTTGCCGACGACACTGACCCGAATAAATGGACTTTCATCCGGTAAGTTTTTGGTTCCAAATTTATGTCACCACCAGGCCACCATAGGAATCTGAGATAATCGCAGTCCTCTGCATGAACACGTACCTGATGATACATGGCTTCGACGTCACCCATCACAGCTATCTTCTCCTGTCGGAAGCGAAGTAAGACAGCGAGGAGATTATTCGTCATGTCCGGCCCCTGTAGAAGTGCATTGTTCAGGGAAGTTCCAAGGTATGAGGCAGAGCAATCAAAAACTACTCTCAGTTTGTTGGGTTTCCGTGGATGGTAAACCCCATGGTGAGGAAGATACCATATGCGTCCAAGGATACCAGGTAAGTCCTGTTCAGTTACCTTTTCAGCATACTCTTTTTCAAACAGTTGTTTCATGAAGGCTATATAGTCTTCTCTGAATTTTGGATCCTTCTTCATTTTCCTTTTAAGGTAGTTGAGTCGCTGAATCGCTTGTGATTGGTTGTTGGGCAAGTGAGTCTCTTCTTTCTTGAAAGGTAAGTTCATATAGTAATGACCTTCTTTCATCTCAATTGAAGATTTAGCTTTATCCTTGAAACGTTTATCTTCCAGGGAATCTTCTTTGCTGTCATCAGTTTGTCTTTCAGGAAATTCAAGATCTATGGAATGTCTTACCATGGTATCCAACTGATGCAGCCTTTCCTTTTCTGTGATGGCCTTGACTTCTGCTCTGTTTATGGAGATAGAATTACTTTCTGAAGTAGTCGTGCTGTCTCTTCTAATCACATTCCAGACAATCCACCCTAACAGACTCTTCGTAGCATGAGGCGACCCTCTAGGACCTGTTCTTATTTGTCGAGGTGTATATACGTCTGGAATGTTGTTTCCAATCAGCATTTCTATTTCAGAATCAGAGTGACATCATCTAAATGTGGCCAGTGATCAATATCCTTGGATGTAGGAATGTGATCCTTGGAAATAGACATCTTCTCTTTGGTGTAGATACGAGGTAGATCTATCGTGTTTTCCATATTCAAGTCACAGATCTGAAGATTGTTCACGGCATGTGTCTCAAAAGTTTGTGTCTCACCCATAGTGTCCAAAGTGATATTCATGGGACGTCCCATTGCACCCAGTTTCTGCATCAGACTGTTTGTACAAAAGCTTGCATTACTTCCAGGATCAAGGAAAGCGTATGTACATATGGAGTTGATCCCATCTTTCAGCGTCACCCTCACTGGTATTACTGCCATTGTACAGTCACCCTCACTGGCCTCTGTAAGCTGATCAAGTTTGCTGGCAACACTGCTGTAGGCACTTGTAGTTCTTCCTTTCACTGAGGTCTGGTTAGGATCCGATTCAGCTTTTCTTCTCCAATTATCATCATGAAGAACTGTGGGATGATGCAAACTGCAAATTGAGCATGTTAGTCTTGATCGACAATCTCTACTCATATGTCCACGCTTAAGGCAAGCTAAACATAGCCCCTTCTTTCTCAAGAAGTCAACTTTATCAGGATAGTTCATCTTTGAGAAAGAATTACATGCATCTAGTGTATGAGATGTATTGTAGTCTACGCAATACAAGCAACTTGCCTGAGAAGTTGAAGACTTATCAGCCTTTGACATGGTTTCACTGGACTTATTTGACTCTGAGAGGCTACTTGCAAAGCTTACTTTAGGAGAAGATTGCTTCTGTTTCAAGGTAAGTTTCTTTCCAACTGTTCCTTTCTGGTCAAGTGTCTTGAGGGCATCTTTTCCATAGGTTGGATCACATGCTTTCTTGGCCTCCATCTTCACAAAATACACGAAGTCACTAAACTGCACAGTTCCAGATGCTTCCTTTATATGCAAAACACGATTTCGCCATTTATCATGATAATTGTAGGGCAGCTTACTTACTAACCTCTTCATGTTTTCAGCATACTGAAGTACTTTTACAGCTTCTAAGCTTGTTAGGGCGTAGTCGCATTCACTCAGGAATATGGAAAATTCATCAAGGGCATTTGGGTTGTCTTGCTTGATCGCTGGTCAATCCAATGCTTTCTTCACAAAGGCTTCAGCAAGAACATCATCTTGCCCATAGCGTTGATGGAGCTCCTTGAGTGCTGCAGGATAACCAACCTTTGCATCCAGGTAAGAAAAACCATTGACAATCTCATGTGGTTTCTTCTCTGTGAACTGAAGGAGATAATTAAGTCTCTCATCATCATCTTCTGTATTCTGTTCAATTGTAGACCTGAATTGACGTATGAACTTACAGTACTCTATCGGAATACCATCAAACTTTTTCATATCAACCAATGGCTTCCTCAAATGACGCACCACATCAGTTATGAGATCTCTTCCGGTAGAAATGTCTGCTGTCATAGATGGTCTACAATCATATGGAGTGCTAACAGGTATTCTGGAAGGAAGAGATACATGTTGATTATCAACACTAACACCTGTGTTACCATGTTGTTCACCATATGACCTGAACAAACAATAGCCATAACCAACACAATCATCATGACAGTAAACATTGCCATTATGCACAGACTTAGGCACAAACTCATTTGATGATGCGCTAAGTCTGAAGTCATTGTCTCTAGCAATGTGAGAGACATTAGGATACAAACTGACTAAGTTACTATCAGTCTGTACACATTTCACCTCAGTCTGTACATCATCAGATTTACCAGTGTCATTAGAGGGTTGTCTGTCTGGAATTGAGTCTCTCTGTACACACTTGGTCCCTGTAATTCATTACCATGATCACCATGATGCTTGTCATCACCGCGAGACATTCTTGAATCGCTTCTATGTTCAAAGTCATCAAGCACCCTTGATCTGGCATCCACAACATCCATTTCAGTCTTTAATTCAAGTTCCTCTTGCTCATGTTTCAGCTGGGCCTGGGCAAGTTCAAGTTTCTTCTTCTGTTGAAACGCGTGCATCCTGACATCCAACTCTGCTTTCTTCTGTTCCGCTTTCAGTCTTGCAGATGACAATGAAGATGACCGTGACACAGCTGCACTAGACATACTGTGATGCCGTGAGACCTGACTGTTACTTTGTCTAGAGGAGACAATTGAGGTGATCCATCCTTCCATCTTCTTCTTCATTAAACCATATGCATCTTCAAACATATTTTCGCTATTTGAACTATCATGAGCTAGGTCACAGAAGGAGGTATAGGTTTGAAGATAATCTTCATATACAGTTAGCCATGCTTTGTGGTCTTCTACGAGCTCACGACTATCACAAACATCTGTAACTAACTGCTCTATGTGAGTGTACTTAGTCCTTAGCTTCTTAATCAAAGTTTTTAATCTCTTTGACTTCAATTCAATTTCAAATAATCTACCCTTTTCAGTCCTAGGTCTCTCGCGTCTAATCGGTGAGTCTTCACCTGTCTCACTGACAGTTACTAGGTCATCTACAGGTTCATCTGTCACATGATCTTCTATATTTATCTCTCTATTCATAATGGTCAACTAGTCAATGCATGTGGACTTCAAAAATCGCACTGATACTTTTCAAGTGAAAACAATTCAATCTTTGGATTTCTGTTTATTTTATTCTGTTTCATGAGTGTTGCATGAGTATTTCATGTCATTTCATCTCATTTCATGTCATTTCATTTCATTTCACTTCATTTCAATTCATGTCATTTCATTTCACTTCATTTCTATTCATGTCATGTCATTTCATTTCACTTCATTTCAATTCATGTCATGTCATTTCATTTCACTTCATTTCATGATTGACTGCAAATAAAGCAAAAATACCATTACTCTAGATTGTAAATACAAATAAACTATACTCAAAAACATTTCTTTGCAAAAGAACATTGATTTTAGGACACATTAGGAAATTTATGGTAATTACAAAATGTTGTTTACCAGAAGCAATGTAATTAATTCAAATACATTATATCACAATTATACATCTAAAACTAAAGATATTAGTAAAAATGCTGTTGTATTTACCTAGTTGTTGACCACTTTTATCAACTCATGTGGCTACCTAGCCAGCTGCCATGTGGTTCTGTGCATGCCTTACATGCCTTGATTAAATGCATCTATAAATAGACTAGTGCACAGCGCACCCTATTGGGCTTAAGAAAATGAAAATGGTCTACCTTGATACCCACCTGAAGCATCATAAAATGAAAACATCTTTTAAGTGTATGACCATTACAGTGACTGTGTATAGCAGTACTGTCGTCAGTACACACATGGTAAGTTCTAAATACGTATTTGATAGGAATACCTGATAACGGGATTGTCTGCAGCATACAAAAATCTGTAAATAATTGGTTTGTCCTTTATGAGATGCAGTTTGACATAAATTATTTATAACTGAAGAAGAAATAACCCACGTTGAGCCACCTTGTATCCCAGAACATGTCAACGTTTACACAGTGCAATGAGGTGGTGGCTTCAGCTGCTTGTATACTTCTGCAGAGTTTTAATTAATTATTGATATTTTTTTTCTATCGCCCGATTCTTCTCTTCCACCATGACACAAAGTCAAGGGCCATGTGTAGAAGCAAGATAAAGTCTTCACGAAGCAAAATTAATGACCTAGGAAAGATAATTTTTTTTATCGAAAGTGACAACACTCACACATTGTGATGATGGTTTATGAAAGTTAAGTGTGGCTGAGATTGGATTT